CTTGACGCCGTTTGAATGGACTTGAGACTGAAGTGATCGCGTTTTTTGTAGTGCTACGCGGGAAAAAAACTCTGTGAAAATCTTTTTTTTTTATGCAAATATTTTTACCGTGGAATAGAGCTACAATAAAACAAACGATAAGGTCAACTACAGTGAAGTAACACAACAGTGAAGAAGCGAGCAGCGGCACTCCGCATGTCCGTGTTTTTGATCGTCGTTCATGGTTCGGCTAAGAGTCTCATATTTGGGCATAACTGAGGTATAGTTTTGTGAGAAAGGCGTAAAATCAAATGTCAGTTATGTATTGAAATACAATTCATACCTTCTGGAACCTCTTTCTCACATCATGTTTAATAACAGACAGTGGGCAAAATTCTGCGCCAGCTCATAGAGCGCAAACGCCCTCCCTCCAGTCCAGACTAAAATCTGTTGGAATAAAAAATTGCAACACTTTGAGCAGAAAGCCCGCTCAAAGCCTCAATCCTTATTTGGAGTCACAATTCAGGCATCCCTGACTAAAGCAGCCGCCGATAATGATATAGACCTCGTTCGCGCTATAGATGACTGGCCGGGTAGGTTGGAGGCTTGTATTCAAAATCGCGGGGATCCTTTTGGTGTGTTATTTTAGTAATAAACATATGTCAATTATTTAACAATAAACATGTGAAAGAATTTATGACCCGGCTAGGTATTTTGTCGGTACGGTTATTTTATAATCCTTATCCTTACTAACATTATAAACGCAAAAGTTTGTATGTATGGATGGATGTTTGTTACTCTCTCACGCAAATACTACTGAATGGATTCTAATGAAACTTTACAATAACATAGCTTATATATCAGAATAAGACATACCTAGGCTATAATTTATATACATATTTACGTGTATCTGTCTTTTGGTCTGAATGTTACGCTTTCAGCCTATTCTACGCAGACGCGGGCAGCAGCTAGTATTCGATACTTTAAGATTAAGTATAGCAATTTCGCGGACTATTGCCTAGTTGTGCCATTTTATATATTTCTTATATTTGAACATACTACATCATTTGAATATTCAGAACACATACTATATCAAAAGCACTCGACTCTGCTGTTAAAATTATTATACGAGCTGCTGCGGTGAATGTGAACTATGTAGCAGTAGGTAATTCTTTTCTTATCTATGTTTACCTTATTAAACAAACGAAGTGTAACCGAGTGACGTAACCGAATGTCAGTATAATTAACCGATAAAAATAAAGGAACAAATTATTGGAGCATGGCAGCGTAACATTCATCAACATCTCATCGTTATCCTAAACTTGTTATAAGCTGCGTTACATAATAATTTTGATCGCAGTTGCCAAGGTATTGGCTTCGGCGTCGGGGGTCGTGGGTTCGATTCTGACACGGGACAACTATTTGTGTGACCCACAGATAGTTGTTTCGCATCTGGGTGTTTGTCCGCGTGAAATTTATGTTTGTAAAACGTCCTTTACAACACAGGATAATATTATCCTAAAGTAAGGGCAGTGTAAAAAAAAAAAAGAAAAAAAAGATTTAAAAAAATAACGTTATTTGACTGTGTAAGTGAGTACTAAGTTGAAGTGTGTTGTAAGCGAATGTAATTAGAGTAGTTTTTCCCTTTGACAAAAAATTATTCGCTCACGAAAGTACATCTTGGTGTTATACATGTACGAGAATCGAAGTAAGTGTTCTTCTATATCCAGTGTGCTTGGAAAAATAAAAGGACATTCAGGCTATTCTAAGTATCTTAGGTGCTGATAAACATAGATACATCAAAATACTGAATTTGTATATATTATATATCAGAAAACGTTAAAATTGTCCATTCAATGGATAATTTTAATAAGTATTAAGAAGTTTACAACGTTGATGAAGTCCACCATAAATTATAAATGAAAGCTATATCCAGATTTTATTAATCTGGATTTAATACATACTTAATATTAGGTTACAATTTATAGTAACTTTTTAATTTATTAGCTTTGGTCTTAGTCAGTTTACTTATCAATGGTCGGAACGTTAATACAATGAGCAGTACTAATCATTGTTATTTCACACTAATATTGTCACATTGATAACCAAACGTATCATGACCTAATCCACGAGCCATTATAAAAAGCATTTAATCTTTACAGTCCCATACATCATCATGATATTTTATTATTGGAATTTTTATATTATTTTTTTAATAATGGAGATATCTAGCCGATACATTAGATACACTAAAGAAACATTAATTTGTGTTCTCACAATTGAGGGAGGGAGTTGTGGGTCCCATAACTCAGAAGCAGAACGCTTTTTTTTTAATAAGAGACCCGAGCTTTTTTACTCTTCTATAAACAAACGAGCAAGCGGTTACCCAATTGGAAAAGTTTACCGATGCCTTTAACACCTGCACCATATAAGAGAGAGAGAAAAGATAAACCGTGATAAAGTGCATAAACATAAATCTCCTTTACGCTGGTCTCCTTTAAGGCTATGGTAGTTCCCCGGTCGAGCAGGCTCATTTATGCACCAGAAAAACCTGCTAAGTAGTCCTCTCAGTACTCCGCAGGTTCAATGTGATACGTAATTGTGGTAGGATCCATAATCAACTACGTACCTACATATTTTCACAATACTAATTTGATTGGCACACAAAAATTCCCCGCGTAATTAGAAACTTATTAGAGATAAATATTCCTGTGTTTCATTAATTGTATAATATTAATAAATAGTTAGTTATAAATGGAATCCCATTATCATTAGCACTAAACGATTAATTATTTATTAACGCCTGATGTTGGTAAGGCAAAGAGTAAAACATGACTGTAGCGAACCACAGTAATTCTGTGAGTACCTTATTCACACGAATCTAATACAAACCGGCAAAGTGCTAATCGGAATTGCGATACTGATGGCTGCTTAATGTTATATAGCCTATCAAATTTCATTTCATATAACTCTTCTTTTAAAAATCCCTTTAATGTAAGGCCTAACATTAAACAAGCCTACGTGTCCTTTATAGAAATATAAATTTTCAGTACTTTCGAAACATTTATATCTCTGGTAACCACCCAGCAATTTCTGTTGTCCGAACGGGCTGTCTCTTCCGGGAAAGTCAACGGAACATGGGAGAAGACTGGCGTAAAGTGGAGATATTATATTTATGAATTTTTGGTGAACGAGGTAACCGAAACCCAAACGTTTTATGTTTAGGAACGGATTTACATCTCCAAAGGTTGCCGTGGGTGACAGCTCAAAGTTTACTTTTTTTTAATCTTCCAGCAGGTGAACCGCCTGCTCGAAGAAGACGTAGGGTGGAAGCACAATTACGCATTTTACTGACAAACTTATGTATCTCGTACAAGAGTACTTTCACTTGATATGTTACAGCAATAGGCTTATCTATATACTATAACTAGCCGCTCCGGCAAACGTTATTTTGCTATATAAATCATTTGTAGGATAGGAAAAATAAAAATTACTATCTACCTACTGAATATATAAAATTTTATCAAAATCGTTCATGCCGTTTCGGAGAAGCATAAACACTAAAACTGTGACACAAGAATTTTATATATTAGATAGATAAAACAGACCGTACATCTGCAACCCCACAGGTGTTGTAAATGTCAATGGGCGGCGGATAACACTTAACACAGGTGAACCACCAGCTCGCTTGCAACCTTCTCACATAAAAAACCGTCCTATTCGTAAAGTCAAAAGTATGAAAAGTAGGAAAAAGCGAAAAGCAAGCGACATCAACCAACGAATTCATCTTGTAATCTATATTACAAATACAAAGTAAATTTTTTCAGCCTACTTCAAAAAAGGAGGAGGTTATCAGTTCAGTTGTGGTTCTTAAATGAAAATGTGTATAGGTACTAAGTGAGATAATTGGTTTTATTTTTTTGTTAATAAAAATGTACTTGTTAGAATTGCCGCATTAGGGTAAAAAATAGCGTGTAATTGATATCTATATCTTTCTAACTTATTATGATATTCTTATACTAGTTTTAAGCAAACCAAAGTAAAACAATATGAATTATAATGATTTCTACTGTTTACGATAACTCTTTGGCGCAGTTGCTAAAATATTGGCTTAGGCGTCCGGGGTCGTGGGTTCGAATTCCACACGGGGCATATATTTTTGTCATCCATAGTTAATTGGTCAACTAGGTGGGACTTATCCCACTGACCTTAGTCAGGAAGATGATGATTGTGTTTGCGAGAATACTATACGTTGTTAAATAAAACTAATTTTTCATTAATTGAACAAAACACTAAATAAGACAATAAAATATATAAATACTAAATAGTCAATTTGGTAGAAACCTTTATCATTTGACAAGTCAATTTTTGTTTTTTTTTACTGAAATGAGATGTGAGTTATTATCCAGGAATAAAAAAATGCTTTAATAGTGGGACAAACCGATGTAAGTACTGATAAAAAAAATTGTTGCTCACTTTGAGTCCTTGAAAAGAATTATTCATATTTACATTGATAGCGTCTTCAGCGTGTTATCACGAAGCGTCTAAATAATATTTTACAGTAACATCGTATGATATACATTTTAATAAAAATGTTAAGAGCACGTAAATGAAATTAAAAATGTATCGACATAATACAATTTGGTATCGATAATATTGATATTTTAATATAAAAGTTAATGAATATCGACTAAAGTATCCGTAATATAAGATTATAGTATTAAAATATTTATTAAGTATTTGAAAATTATATAAAAAATATATAATAGAAAAACAGTTTAAAATATACAAAAGAAAAATGTAAACCCACAGTATAGCCGTTGTTAAACTTTTTACCATCGGCCACATTGTGTGAGGGGAATTAAAACTTACCTAACTTTAAATCCGTTCTTTTGCAAAGTTCCGTCTTAGAGATATTAAGATTTTACTAGACAAATAAGTCAATTGAATTGTGTTTAAGTTCCAAATGAGGAGATATTGAAGCACTAAGTGTATTTTAATGATAAAAATAATAATCTTACATCCTCCGGTGGAAAATCGTAACATTCTGCAATCTTCTGGTAAAGTTCCTTCACGTTTGAAAATCCAGAAATTAGCCCCAGAGGGCTACCTTGAGCCTGTTGACAGTGAAAGACCAGTTGCGATTTCTGTGAACCATTATTATTATCTAAGCCGTTACTGTGATGGTTATCCATATCCTCCGAAGGTGCTGTTGGCACTGGCGGTGCATTATATTTCGGCGCTTTCTTCTTGAATAACGACATTCCGATATTCAACAAGCACTAATAACGGTATATAATTTTAAGAAAACAAAACGAGTGAATGTCAGTGCGCACTCATTATCCACAAGAACACTATGTTTTAATCACTGCGAAGTCGTTTAACTTGCAAGGAAGGTAAATGTATTTATCATCGTGTCACAGTATACGATAACGTATCGCTCAATAGCGATATTGGATAAGATTATGTTCATGAAGGCAAGACATAACGTCATGTGAACGATCCGACAAAAAGTACCGACACTACTGAATGTTAGCCAACGACTGAGACAGCCGGCCTGACTGGTAATAATGAAATGACGGTGACGAAGCCCGCATAACATGAGTGAGCGAGCGCGGTATAAATCGCTCGAAAGTCTGTGTGACTGTGTCTGTATTTCTGTTGGTACATGTTTTCCGAGAACATCATCAAAATATCCCGGCATACGTTCCAGGGATCGGAAGATCAAATTAGGGCAGTCTTAGGCCTTTAGAATATTTTCTTTTAATGGCCCAAACAGTTCTGTGACACCCATTTAAAGATGTAGAACATTTACAATAACCTAAAGAATATAAAAGTTTTGAAGGAACAAATCTTGTATAAGCCTCGGTATTTAATTATTATTTTATACAAAGTTATTCATTGTCACAGCACAAACTTTACGATATACTTTACACCATGGAGCATTCAATACTTGAGTAAGCCAAAAATATTACCTAAGTAAACCTACAGCCTACCTACAGTATTGTAGATATAAATGGTACAGTACATATAAATGATAGAATCACATGGCCCAGGCCCGAAATAACATTGACAAGATTTACAAGTAAAATAAGTAGTTAATAATTCGCGTTCCCTTAAGTTTATATTTCGTGTCTTCTCGTTAACTTAATTAAATTAGGTTATTTTTTTTCAAGAATAAAAAAAATGTTTTACGCAATATGAAATATTAACCATAAATTATAATTATCGACACATGCGTGGAAAAAGACTCTCACTCACAGACACTCTTGTTAAACTCTCTCAATTGATCAGAATTATCTTCTTAATGCTCAATTCAAAGAGTTTAACAATCCTTTTGGCAACTCAAATAACATGTGAAAAGCCATTTGACAGCTGATTAGTTAACTTCTACGATGATCAGTGTTTCAGAAATCGGGCGTATAAGCCCGATTTAAATTGTCAAGGATACTGGCGCGTACGAGCAAAGTGTCGGGCACCAGACAAGGGGCTTTTTACGCTTCATAAAGTCAGTTGAATGATGCTAGCAACTTAAGGCTACAAATGATAGTTGGGACATACTTGTAGAAATCTCCATGGATTATTTTTGTCTACTTCAGGAAATACCAGAGAAATTTTCTGTCGAAATTGTCTAGCAACGTCAAAAAATACGTGCAATTTTGTAGCCTGTTGAAGGCCACTAATCTATATCATACTAATACAATACAAATTAACATAATACAGTACAAAAATTATACTCATTTGCCTGTTTAAACTACGCCAAGTGAAATGACGAGTAAAGTGGGCGTGCGATTTGAGTACCTACTTGTAATGTAAGGCATCTAGTTGTAAGGCAGCTCACAAGCTAAGTTCGATTGAAGACTTGTTCGATTGGTACCATTGTAAGTTTATCTACTTCACTAAGGCATAAAACATAATAAGATAGGTATTGAAAATTCTTGGTATTTTTATACATTGAAGTATCTTGTTCAGCAATAAAACACTATACCGACATATACACGAACTCGGCAATATCGGATCTTTCTATAAGAGAATGTATGAATTTCTAGGATCACTCAAATTATAGAAACTGCATTTAGTCCGCAATCCAAGATGCGAACATGTCACGAGAATTATTGAGAATTAGTTACGTCTCATTACGTTACGTGATACAGCGTAGGTCATACACAACTTGTATATAACTAACTACATGATGTTCACTTAAAACGTTATAATCGCATAGAACAATAACTAACAGAATAACAAAAAAAGATTACCCTGGAAATTTGCTTAAACAATTTCAAATTGCGACTGTATTTTAGTCTCTAATGCAACTTAGTTGGTTCAGACAGCCAACAATCACTAGAATAACGGGATCTATTTTCAATTTGATGAAAGTTACTGACGAGACGATCCGGAATCTCTGGTATTTCCTGAAGTAGACAAAAATAATCCATGGAGATTTCTACAAGTATGTAACAACTATCATTTGTAGCCTTAAGTTGCTAGCATCATTAAAAACCATCGTAAATCTTCACCGAGAACGACGTTGCTGTACGTTACCATGTTTATAATTTCCTCTGTAAGAAAATTCATATTAATTTTGTAGCACTATTATCTAAGAACACGCTTTGGCTTCGCCTGGCGCATTACATTATTTAAGCTTCTACACAGCCATCTCATATACAAGCGCTCCAAAAAATATTCAACCTAAGAGTGACGTAAAGAAAGTGAGGTAGGTGCAAAAAAAGGAAAAATAACGGTAAAAGAATAAATAAAGATGTACGGACGAGGTTCAATGCATTCTCCGTATCGGGGTAATATACTAATGATGAGGGTAATTATTAAATTATCTTCTCTATGATTAATGACCTCTCTTAAATTATCTCATTTGTTAAAGAAACTCTTTGCGGGTATAAATTTCTCAAATTATCACCATAAGTATTCACGACAAGATATCATTACGAAAAGGCAACTTCGATGACTGTTACGACAATGTTGAAAAAAGTTGAGCATCACGCTAGGATAAAATTCCTTAAAAAACAAGAAAATACTCAAAAAGTTACTCGCGAAGAAATGGTGGCTGTTGACCGAGATGCTGCTCCATCATTATCTACTGTTCATAAGTGGTAGAGAGCGCATTTGGAGGTATGGAGGCCCCCTAATTTACTGCGAGTATGGGTTAAACAGTAATTGTTATAACAATTTTAAAAGCAATTTCAAAAACTTGGCATTAATGAATAATAATAAACTACGTATAAGTCTTTAAAATAAATGATGTCAACAAATAAAATTATTGAAGTGAAACTTCTTTATCGGGGTTGGAAAAAAATCTACTGTAACATTTTTGCGTTACGCGCCATCTTTTTCTTATCTTAAAATGTTCCTCTAACGCCATCTAGTGTTGAATAGGGGGTTTTATGTCGTCTTTGGGTTTTTTAATTCTAATTCTAAAATGTAAACAATATATTTCGTATTCTACTCACTGGCTGACTATTCGGCAACGAAGGACCATGTACAAATTCAAAGCGGTTGTATTTTGGGTCCGTGAGGTTAATGGAAATAAAACAAGGTTCACGTTGCAAGTTTTTTAATCAACAATTATTGCGGACCCTCATACTAATTACAACGGTCAAACCATAGTGTTTAATTTACTACTAACGCCACCTATGTATTACAAATAAGAAACTAAATGTTATACAAAAATGAAATAATTGTAGAATTTGAATTTATGTCTATGATAATAAAAGCCTTTTATTTAACTTTATCTAATTTAACTTCATTTAACCAATTTCTGTAAAGTTGCACATAGTAAATTATTTTTTGAAAAATAACGTCATAAAAAAGTTTCACTTCTTACGAGTGTACGCTAGTACACGCACACGTTTTTTTTTCCACAAAGGATTTATTAAGAGTAATTAGTTACAATAATACAATTAGTTACAGATATACATATAATAAAAAAAAAATTCTTAAAAATTTTACTCCTGCGTAAAATTTATGGAACTTAGCGAAATTTTATCAACGAAAAATCTATGGTACGAGAGAAACCGATTCTTTATAATTTTCATTTTTGAAAACGAGCGCTCTCCTGTGTGATTTAAGACCTTCAAAATCAAATGTATTTGTTAGTGTAATTTTAATATTCGGGTTCAGTTCTGAAATTTTGATTTTCAAGAAGTAAAACATTTACTTAGATCGGATTTTCGTAGTTTTTTTTGTATAACTTTATAAAAGATCTTTTAGGAAATTATATTTATAGATTACCAAGGCTGGGTTCTAAATCTCCTTTGCAAAGTTTGGTAAAATTTTAGCTAAACTTTTACCAATTCCTTTACAGCAGAATACAAATTTGCAGGTTCCAACTCCTCGATCGAGAAATCCAAATCTCAACCGTACAGCTTCGTATGGATTCAATCTTTCTTCTGTGATTGAGATACAAAGTTGATCAATCACTGGGATAAAAACCGGACACTTTAAATTTCTCTCTTGGTGACAGCATCTTGGGCTTTCATGTAAGAAGAGTATGAAAAACACGTTTATGAGGTCACCACGGAGAGTGGCAAAATTGTGTGTTGATTTAATCGTGTGAAAAAGTGCATTTAGGCAAAGGGAGAAACTAATTTTTGACCTTAATAGTATTTTTTTCTTATTCATTCCGGAAACTTTTAGTGAGCACCAAGTAACCAAACCCCCCCCCCCCCCCCCCCACCTTTGCGAAGAACTGACGTACGTTCCGTGTGCGATCACGTGCTCAACAAAATTATCATAGCAAGGATTAGAAATCAAAGTACTATTCGGATTCATTTTATAATCATGGTACATTATTAATTTATCAATAATTAATTATTGCAGCTTGATGTGATTTATTTAAAAGTTGTTGGTTTGATACCCATTGCGTGGTGATATTTCCTACTCCCTAGAGTGGAGGGTGGTTGGTATTAGTTTTTGAGGGGTGTAAATTCAAGTCTCACAACGTACGCGAGTTAGTTTTTGGTTATTGGAAGTTAAGGCTGTTGCTCTGCTGGAAAAGCTAAGCACTACTGTTATCCAATTATCGGAGTCATTGTTGAGTTATAGTTGCATAAATCGGTAAAAGCCATGTTTTATGACTTGTCTCTAACAATCTCTGCTGGAAAAACTAAGTATTATTGTTGTCCAATATTTGAGTCATTGTTGAGTTATAGTTGTATAAGTCGGTAAGAGCTATGTTTTATAACTTACTTCTAATATTCAGTGGACTCTACTCGCGACGAATCTCATATTGACCGACATCCGACAGTTGTTGCCGATGCCGGATCGATACCAAAGTATATATTATTTTTTCTTCTATGTGAGGTGTCAAGCGAGCTTGCGGTTCACCTGATGTTAAGTGATAACCGCCGCCCATTGGAAATTTACAACACCCATTTGCAGATGCGTTGCCACTTTTTAAAAGTGGGCCCCGGATACCTCATATAACCAGTCGAAACGTAGAAGTATAACACTTCCACTTCATGACTTCACGCCGATCTTCTGGGACGTCGTAGTACTTCCCCGGACGGCCTAGCTTATTCGTGCAACAGCGAACTGTTGTGTAGCCCCATAACCACTTAATACATAATAATAAAAAATTGTTAACATGATCAAAAACTTATTTAACTTGAATTTTATAGAGGTTGCAAACTTGGTATTAACAAAGGAGCAGCTAAAGAGGTAAATTGAATCTATACGGACTATGCAAATGCCTGGTGTGGTAGTTAAAATTTTGGTAAAAATAATTTAATCGGAAAAAGTAACCTTTTCGAAAAAAAATCACATGGAATTAACTAAGACGAAATCGTTACGTTTTAAATCGTCTAATAATTTCGATAAGATCGTTTTGTACGTCGTCAACTCTACCTCCTAACATACCATCGTCAAGGTACCAGCCATTAAGTTTAATTTGTATTTCGTATTTAATTAAAAATAGCTGAAAAACTGTATTTTTAACAGATTTCAAAAAGAGGTTATGTATTTTATATTTCAAATACCCTACATAAAGATACTTCGTATCTCGTATTTTAATTACGTTAATACTGTATTTTTAAATAAATAATAAATAAAAATCACTTTATTACATTCTTTATAACTTGTAACTAAACATGCATTCTTAAATTTAAAGTACACAATACAATAAAGGCAAAAGGAGGCGGCTCAGCTTGTGCTGGTCGGGACAGTAGTTCCGAGCAGCGCTGGTTTTCAGCCTCTCCCCACTTCCTGAGGTGTTTTTCGGAAGTTTTTAATTTGTATTTCAATTAATTATAATAAAAAAATTCTAGATGTACAAGGATTTTGGATATACGGCGATCTTGGTGACAAACCTGAATAGTGAATACCAATTGTAACTGAATACTCCCTGTATTGCGACACCGAGTGGTTCCAAGTTGTCGTTATCGGATATCTTTTATAAATACCAGACTTAAGAAGTTATAAAAATGGAAAGATGCATTGGCTGTTGAAATTTCAAAGTATCAGAATACTGGTGTTATACAGCGTGTCGTTACCATCGCGACAATAAATGAACACATATATAGGGGATAACTTTTTAAAGTTGTATTAAACATTTAAATTCTTTAAACATCAATATTTACAGTTATTAAATTTTACAAAACAGAATTTTAGAACAGCCTTACCTATAAAAGCGTAACGTAAAGTTCATTTGTAAAGGTCACAAAGCATATGAATGGGTTGACTGAATTTAAAAGAGACAAAACATACTGTTAGAAGGAGAGGCTTGTAATACGACGCTGTGGCGCGAGTTGTATAGGTGTTACAAATTTTGCTTCTTTTTTACTTAATTTGTTTGAAAAATTTTTTTTTTGTAATTATGGATTTTGTTTAACGTTAATATTTTTTTATGATTATTGTCAAGTAGCGTTAGACGTGTGTTAATTTATTGTCGCGATGGTAACGACACGCTGTATAAAACTAGGAAGCAAATATAAAATTTTACTGCAGTATATCATTGTCGCTTGATCTTGTACTATTAATGTAGTTTAATCTTTTTAGAACTAATTTCAAGTACCTATGTTAAGAACTTGCAGGCCTGTGTATATTTATACGCACTTCAGCATGTAGTAGTAGTGTGAAAATTTCTATTAAGTATGTAGAATACAAAATTACTGTGATCAAGCTGTATCACGACACCTGCTGTTGCGTGAATGGGGAGGCACACCTGAGGAAGTATCAGAAACTTTACTTACACAAGGCGTTAAGAATTTGCAATTTTAACCTGCGTACACCAAAATTCCTTAACGCAGCAGTGTCTTAACATCAGGTGAACTGAACCTTTTTCATTCACAACGAAAATCTAAAGGTATCTTTAATCAATACTTTGTTTTGTTGCATATAAGCTATGTTTGACATCATCCAGTGTGTCCTTTATGGCTAACTACCACCTTTTTTATATTACTTTATTACAATTAAAAAACTAGAGATGTCACCTTTGTTTTTAAATTTTAATGATATTAATTTTTATATTGCAATTTTCTGCACTTAAAATATAATGTATATAGTTACAGAGTAAGAAAACAATTGAGAAGATTGGTAGGTTTTACAATTTTATTGAAATTGGGCAATAAATCTAAGAAGAGGCAACTGCTTTCTTGGGTGTTGGTTTGCCCTCTTTGAAACCATTGCGGAAACGCCTTCTTACAATCTTGAGGTGTCGCATGCGGCCAGTTCCAGTAGTCTTCCTGCGCTTAGCCTTCACAGACCAGTGATCTGAAAAGAACATTTTTCTTATGCAGAATTTTATGATTTCCAAACTATTGCTACATTTTGTCTAACTTGATAAAGATCAAGCTTTAAAAATAATTTGTGTGAAATATTTTTTGTTACCATTCAACAATTTTATTGTGAAAATAGTATTGAAACTTTCACTTTGCTATTCCTACATTAACAAGAAAACAAATATAGAAAATGTTTCCTCAATCACTGTAGGGGCTTCTGAAATCTGAAGTTAATCATCTATATATCAACATCATAGCTCCATCTGGGGTTTAAATATAGTAGTACTGGTCGACTATCATAACCACAAATGTTTACAAAACCCCAAAAACCCATTTGAGATTGATTTAAATTTATAATATGGACTTCTTTGCCAAGATATATTTTTTAACAAAATAAGTATAGAGAACAATACTTTTTTAAAGACATCATAATCACACAGAAACTAGCATGAAATATTTCCATTTATTTTTTCTGTTTATTATAAGACTTATTCTTATTAAGTCCCTTTGGAAAAATACCAAAATTATTGACAGTAAAATATTCCACAGTGTGATTTACCAGGTGCAAAAAAATGTTATTCAATAAAGAAAAATCACTAATGAAATAAACAACAAGTAGAATTATCTGGCTGCGCATAGTTTGCGAGAAAAAAAATATTTTAAACTCGTTTTTTTCACTAAGAAAGTCCTCCATTTTGTTATTGACAACATGTTAGATATAAAGCTACTAAAAGATTTTTTGTTAAAAATACATACATATTTGCAGTCACACACTTTTCCAAATGGTAATGTCGCATTAATAAAAAACACTGACGCTTCTTTTTCTTTGGTTTAATTATTACATTGTAACATTTAAAAACTTTCATATTAAATCAAAAACACGTCTTGTCCACACTTTAAACAAACAAAACTTTTTACAAGAACACCAAAAAAATTTAAAAGTACTGATTGAGATTCTAATAAAATTTTATAAAAAGAAATAAAATATAAATTACAATACGTACATAATTCACTAGTGCTAGTAGACGCGCACATATTATCCACCATTACAAATATTAAAGAGGAAATTGAAAAGAGCGGGAAATACTTATCTTTTTAAATTTAATAGGTACTCAAATATCAATACAGCCAATATGCTAATATCGATTTCGGAACTCGATTACAAATTTTATAAAATCTTTTTAATCAGTAGTATAAATTAATTTCAAGTCTATTTAACACAAATTGATAGGTTTTTTTGTAATTGCACATTTTTATATATCAAGAAGCCTTATCTAATTAAGATTAATAGTGATTTTTTCTTTAATTTTTTTATTAAAATTACGAAGATTTTTCTTTTTGCATACGAAATATTCACCTTTCATAAATTTTAATTTTTTGTTTAATGTAAAAAAAAATATTCATATTTCTGGCCATGGAAGAGTCAAATTTAATTATGAATTAATAATTATTATTTCATGATTAAATTTGACTCTTCCACGTGCTTCGTCAGAACACTCGCTATGTCGCCCCTGAGTGTCGCTTCACCCACTCGGCCTTCCAAGGGACCTCCAGCGCGAGGTTCTGGCTCCGCCTTTTTATGTTCACTCTAGGGGTAGGGACCACAAGACCACATGGAGTCGGGGTGCTCTGTGTCGGATCTGTCACTCATAATTTTTTTACAAAAAAAAATTATCGATTTTACAATCGATACAAGTATGACGTCACTCGCTACCTATATTTATCATATTGGCAGTACTGTATATTGAGTTTTTGAAGTCCACTTAGTAAAATTTTTTCATTTGGCAGACTTTCATAGTGAAAATAACAAATTTTAAATAATTTTTATCTCGAAACCTGTGAGTGAGCAGATAATTCTGCATGTTGATTATTTCATTAGTCATTTTTCTCTTTAAAAAAAAGTTTTTTGTTAGCTCGAAAATCAAACTGTGGTAATGAAAATTAATACCATTATTTATTATGATTTATCAAAATTAGATTGGGTTATGTAAAGGGTCGAATACTAGAACCTAATGTAACAATGTGTTTAACAATTATCGTGATAATTACCTTTAAAACTTAACACCCTGATACGAGCTAATTCAATAGATTGCTACTAAATATATTAACCATCATTTGAATGTTTACCAGTATTGCCAAGTGATTTAACAAAAACATAGTATCAAAACATGTAACTAGTAAAAAAGTTACTGATTTAACTGTTTTCTTCTCGACTGACATTAAAAGTAACTATGTAATATTGAAATTTATAAAACTTCTTGCATTCCAAAATTATTAAATACATAGTCGAAAATAGAATACTATATATTTATTTACCTACATGTTTTAAAAACGAATATTGCATAGTTTGTTGATCGGATTTAAATTACTTGCATAACTTATTTAAGCCAGATTGGTTGATTAATAATGTAACTTAATTAAGTTGTAAGAAATGAAGTTCAGAAACATAACCTCAAAATAATATGAAATAAACTCACATGAACGGAGTTTTGCCGCAGGGTACCCGCATTGTGCACATTTTGATTTCTGAATGTGGTATGAAGATCTACCACATCTTCTACACAATGTGTGTGTCTTATTTCGCCGCTTACCAAAGCTTGAGGTACCCTTCGTCTGAAAAACACAAGATCAAAATATCGTATCATCATTTCACTGAACATAAATATAACTATAATTACTTGCGTATAATAATCACTAATACAAATTGAAAATAAACATTTATATATCAATTATATAGTAACTCGATTAATGCGGATTAAATGAGAAATTATAAATTTTAACCGTACCATTTTGTCACAGTTTGACAAAGAAAGAGACAACCACAGACCAGAGACCACACACCACAGTGTTACCAACTGTTCAAAAATAATACTCCAAAAGCAGTTCGAAAACCCACTAAAATTAACTAAATTCAAACAGAACTTCCTAAAAAATCACGATTTTTTTATGTCTCTGTACAAAAATTATGTGATAAAATTGACTACTTCATCCAACATCCCTAGACATGTACACTTTTAACCCCCAATTTTAAATTCTTTGGTATTTTATATTGCTTAATTAATGATTTTAATACATTTTAGCACACGCAATCCTCAGTAACAATATTTTTTTGTTTTGAGTGACAAAGTGACAAACGAGTTGGCAGTTCATCTGATGTTAAGTGATAACCACCGCCCATGGACATTTGCAACACCCATAGGGTTGCAGAAGCGTTGCCACCTTTAAATAAAGAGTGAGCTCCGGCTACCTCACTCACCAGACGAAACGCAGAAGTGAAACACTTCTACTTTACGCACGTCGTCGTCTTCAGGACCGACCTGCCCATTACATATTTATTTAAATATTTACATATTTATTTAAATATTTTAAGAGATATTTTTCACAACATTTTCCAGTCTCAAACTAAGCAAAACTTGTACTATGGGTACTAGAAAACTGATAAATATACTTAAACATGCTTTTCTTTTGTAAATAAATATATATTATACATATATAAACACCCAGACACTAGAAAAACACTATGCTCATCACACAATATTTTTCCAGTAGTGGGGATCGAACCCACACCCTCTGGCGCAGAAGGCAGGTACACTACCCACAACGCCATTCGGGTCGTCAAATTCGTGCAACAGTAAAATTGAACACCATTGCGGTCCTACCCTACCACCGTTAAAACATACATTCAATATTATAGTTCAGAGCGGAAGAATTTAAAATATAGAGACACAAAAGTAAAAAATAAAAAACACAAAGATGCCTTGGCCTAACGTCCACCAAAGCAGCACAGCATTGTTGGATTATATCTTTTGTTTAAAAGTATTTTTGTGTAGTTTTTTTTTTGATTCAAAAATTTTAGGCCTAAAAATATTCCCAAAGATAAAAAAACGTAAAAAAAATCTCTATTGTACATTTTTCCTTCCTAAGGTTGGGTAGAAAATTCCTAAGCTAGCATCCCTGGACCAACGAACTTAATTATTATTGTGTTAATGTTAGGACTCTCTCTACCAATCGTTGATAAAAGATTAAAAATTACATTCTTATATCAATGCTAACATTAAAAAATCAACAACACTGATACGACAAAATAAAACTTATCGTTAAAAAGAAGAAGAAGATTCGAGACAAATCGATTTTAAAATAGTAACAAATCTGTTTAAAAAATATTATGACCTTTTTAAGGGTCACTAAATTTAAAGGGTCGCTCACTGCAAGAGGTAACGCAGTCCTATGTTCAATAAAATGGCTTGTCACCGATAGGTAAACGAAATCGAGGTGTTTCCTAAGAATTTGACTTTTTCGGGGTCATCGTAGACAAGCGCTCACTATTGACGGTTAGGATTCGAGTCATTTTATTTTCACATTTCGGGCCAGTTGCCAAATCGAAGTGAGTATCCCTTGTAGTTTGACCGTGTTCCGACATACTATCTTCACTTTAGTTGTAGGCGTCTAAGTTGGAACCGATTGGATTTTAATATGTATCGAACGAAGGCCCATTTAGCCAATTTTGTCCCTTATCATCTGTCGTGATGTATATTCGTAGGCTACTAAACGAACATACGTCACGAGGATTGCCTTGAAAGGAAATGACAATGAAATGAAATACGCTTTATTGTACACCAGACAAAATTACAAAAGTAACAAACAACTACATAAAGGTACAATTGGCGGCCTTATCGCTTAGAAGCGATTTCTTCCAGGCAACCATGTTACTGAGGATACAGTGATCAGTGAGAAGGGTTTGGAGATATATATTTATTCACATATACAGCGTGTCGTTACCATCGCGACAATAAATGAACACACGTCTAACGCTACTTGCCAATAATCATAAAAAAATATTAACGTTAAACAAAATCCATAATTAAAAAAAATATTTTTCAAACAAACTAATTAAGTAAAAAAGAAACAAAATTTGTAACATCCTATACAACTCGCGCCACAGCGTCGCATTACAAACCTCTCCTTCTAACGGTATGTTTTGTCTCTTTTAAATTCATTCAACCCATTCATATGCTTTGTGACCTTTACAAATGAACTTTACGTGACGCTTTTATGGGTAAGGGTGTCCTAAAATTCTTTGTCTTGGAAAATTTAATAACTCTGTAAATATTGATGTTTAAAGAATTTAAATGTACAACTTTAAAAAGTTATCCTCTATATGTGTGTTCATTTATTGTCGCGATGGTAACGACACGCTGTATATATGAATATATATATATATCCCTATATATATATATATATATATATATATAGAAGGGAACGATAAGTGGACAAAAGCCATTTAACGGAAATTTATTTTTAAATAAATTATGAGTAAAAAAAAAAAAAAAATCATAATGCAGAGATAAACGAGTCTTTTAAATATTGCCAGTGATTGCGTTCGCCGGATTTGAAGCGGTAAGGAGTTCCAAAGCCTGAACGCTTCGACAGAAAAGGATTTCGACTAGAAGGAAGTATTATAAGAGGGAATTTTTAAGGTCAAGTTATTATCGGAGCGAAGAGAGTGACAGTGACTGTTACACGCGAACTCAAATCTCTCTTTAAGATAAGGAGGGGAAGTAGGATTGAATAGAATACAGTATAAAAGAGAAAGAATGTGGGTATTCCTCTAAAGGCGAATCAGAAGCCACTTAAGTTTTTCGCGATGTTCGGAAACATGGTCATATTTTCGGAGTCCAAATATGAACTGTATACAAAGATTTTGCAAGCGCTCATTAAAATTCGAATAGCATGAATCAGCATAATCGAGAATCGGTAATAGGAGTGTTTGTGCAAGTGTAATTTTAGTTGGAATGGGTAGGAAATTGCCTAATCTACGGAGAGATCCGACCGATGCAAACAATCTCCTACTCACCTCGTTCACATGTGGGGCCCAAGATAAAAACTTGTCAAAAGTAACGCTGACATTTTTAACAGGGTCACTGTAAGGCACTCAAGCCCCATCAAGCAGGATGTTAGGTAAAGTAGATAAGTTAATACGAGTAACTAATTTTTGACTATATTATAGCTTTCGTTTTTGATGGATTCACTTTCAGACCATACGACTTACTCCATTCCACAATTGAGTCAAGATTATTATTTAATAACTGAATCGTGTTGGGTAAGTCCAATATCTTTCCCTGAACATAAACTTGGAGATCATCAGCATACAGGTGGTAGCAAGAAGATAATCGGAGCATAATAGAACTAATGAAAATTGAAAAAAGAACAGGAGACAACACGCCAACTTGTGGTACACCAGCATTGGTCGTGCGTCAGTTAGAGAACGAATCATCAATGCACGTCCGTTGCCGGCGACCAAACAAGTAATTGTGAAATCAGTCAATCACTTCAGGAGATATGTTAAGAGACTGTAAAATTGTTAATAAGAGGTCAAAATCTACATTGTTGAATGCATTGCTAAAGTCAAGTAAGGTCAACACTGTAACACATTGGTTATCCATCCCGAGTCGAATGTCTTCGGTAATCTTGACTAAAGCAGTAGTCGTACTATGACCAGCACGGAAACTGGATTGGAATGGATTAAAAAGATTTCGCTTGGATATAAAGAGACTTAATTGATTGTGGATAACACGCTCAAAAACTTTTGATAGAAATGGGAATGGATGGAAATCGTGCGGTAGTCAGAAAAACTTGAGGGATTAGCTTTTTTAGGTATAGGAATTATTTGAGCTTCTTTCCAGGACGATGGGAAGAAGATATAGAGTAATTAAAGATGGATTTTATTACAGGGGTTAGGATATAGATGATAAGGACGATCATTTTACGACTTATGCAGTCAGTACCTACGGCATCGGAATTGACCTCAACAATACTTTTCTTAATATCACTATCAGTAATTTGACTAAAAATGAAAGCAAGATAATCTAAGTTGGGAGAAGCTAAAATTTGATGAGTTGTTGAATTTGTATTTAGATTTAGCAATATTTTTCTTACGTTGCATTATTTTGATCTGAATAAGCCAGGGAGCAGGCAGGTGTTTAAGTCGAACCGATCGAATTGGAGCATGAGCAGCATAATTAATTGAAGAAACTAACATTATATCTCATTATATCTTATATTAAGGAGTTAGTGAATAAAACTTTGACCATCAACGGGTCAAGTTATTACATTGTAAACCAGGCATGACCGTCCCTACTACCAAGATAGTGACCGACTGGGAAGGAAGGAACGTTCTCCCTACACTTAGATGGGATAGTCACCACAGACCGTCTTCACGGCAATCTCATATTTCAGGTATCACATCCAAACTGTCGTCGGAGACTCCTCCGAAATCAAGGGAGTGAATGATCTCAAACAGTGAGAGAACCTCAGATTGACATCTGACTGACTTACACTGTCCTAGGATGCACCGCCTAAAAGAGGTCAAAAAGCGCATGCAGAAATAAAGAGGGAAGAGATGGGACAAACTGATGGAGGATTTTCCGCTGTAACACTACCTTTTCTCAATAAGAGGACGTCACCTCAATGCCTCCTCCGACTGTGCTCGTTAGTAGCAAAGCGTTCGAAGACAACGAGATCGAATGATTCGTCAGCAGCCTCGAACTCCATTGCTCGCTTAGCACGCAACCCAATAACCTAATCTACCAACGCATGACTCGTGAAAATCATACGAGACTATTTGTTCAACTACTCCATAACTAACGATATTCTTTTTTTTGGGCTGGATGAGCCACTGTTGGCCTCAGGGGTCGTCACAGTTCCGACGGACTTGAGGTGGCCTGGCGCACGGGGCGCCTAGCCTGAACCTCGGCGTATTATTATTACGCGTTATGGTGACCAAGCTCGA